ATATAAGACCATCTTTCCAAATTCCGGTTGTAGAAGCATATATCAAAAAAGTGGCATCTGAGTATGCAGCAAAGGAGGTTTTTCTTCTGCCTGTCCAGAGTGTGCCCTTTCCCCCTTCGAAGGTACTGGATAAGTGTTAGCCTGAGGTGCGATCTTGACCAGGATGAAAATGTGGCAAAAGAAGTGTTCTGATTGGATTATTTGGTAGATAGATCATGAGTCTATGCTTTGTCGTCGATTAGCGTCTGTGAGACTGGGTACGGTTGTCTTTGAGACAGCACACAAAATACCTGCTTAGGATAATCAGTTTTACTACTCGTTCCACAACCACTTCTGGAACTATAAAGAACTATCAGTTTGGATAATAGTAGGCAAATGTAGAGGAGAGTAGTCTTACTCAGATACAAGATGGCTTTACCAGCTAGTCTTCAGGAGAACTGTTCTGGATCTGTAAGTTTATTATAACAGGTGTGTGTATCTTGAGGCATACTGTTGTTTGTGTTGTATATGTGGTTTTTTGCTTTTAATGTATTTTTTTTTCTATTTTTATGATCAGGAATAGTAGTGTTTTGTTTATATCTTGCCTTTTTTGCAGTAGAAAAGACTGCAAAAGAGAAGGGAGGCTTCCCATTGCCAAGCAACTCTTCTTTCTTCAGTAGCTGACCCTCAGCCAAAGAGCTGAAGAACAAGTGCTCTTTGGCTCTTGTACAAGGACTTGCACCTGTAGGCAAGCACAGGCCTTAAATAACTGTGCAGAGAAGAGAGCAAATTTAGGGAAATGATACTCAGCTGCTGTTAACTGGCAGGATCTCCCTCTGTTCCTCTCCTGCCGATACATAAGCTGGTATTTTGGAATTCCTTGTGACCATAGGCATTTAATGGTTTTATGTTTGCTATCTTGAAAAAGAAAGCTAGCTCTTTTAGGACTGCACCTTTTTGGCAAATCCAGAAATTTGGAGGATATAGAAGTGCTTGATAGTCTTAAAAGACAGACAGAAAACATATACAAAAGGCTACAATCCTGTGGATAAACTTAGGGTATATCCTATTGAGCACAGTGGGATTTGTTTGAATAAACATGCATAGGATTGAGTTGCCTGTCATTGATTTTAGGAATAGATGTTAATTTGTTGCAGTTTGTAGCTTGCCTATACAGACATTCAATATTATGTCCAGACTGTGATCAATGCTTCCTTAAAGCTGTGGAGTCTTGTGAGCAAAAATTCTACTTTATGAGCGACTGGCATTAAAGTTGTGAGCAAGCAATTTGGCTGCTGCATAAATTAGTTTGCTCTGGAGCCATCTTTCCTGAGCGAAGACAAAAACGTGTGAGCCGGAGGCTAAAAAACTGTGAGCTAGCTCACACTGACTCAGCTTAGAGGGAACACTGAGCAACTATAGCAGAAGTCACAGCTGCTAGAGGCAGATCATTATAACATACTGGAGGAAATCAACACAGCCATTGTATAAGGAAATAATGGCTTTCCAGCTCAATAGATTTATTTTAGAGTGTCAGCCATGTGGATAAATATCATAGTGTATGGAACTGTACCTCTCCTCTTTTCAGTTAAGCTCTTGACAAAGTTACTATGAGAGTACCTACAGTAGAAGTTTCATGCAGTGGGAAAAATAAAAGTCTGTAAAAGATCAGGATTCACAGCCAGCTTCCTAAACAGAGAGGAGGAAACAACATGTCATAGATATTTGTGTGTAGCTTTAGTCCGTTCATTCATAATAAGAACTTTAGAGACACCAAAATACTGGCCCCAGAATTCTGTTAAGATGAATTAGATTTGCACAAGACAATATTTGTATTCCTTTTCAGCACCTATGTCAATTATGTTTGTTTCTGTGTATGTACTGCTGTATCTTAATGTTGTTGTTTCCTTCTCAAAAACACAGACAGCTTGCAGGGAATCCCAGTGGTCCCTTGCTTAGGCACTGATCAGGCCCATATCTGCTTCACATCAGCAATGTAGTGGTATGTCACTGGAGTCATTGAGGAGATGACATTTGGCAAAGATCAGTGAGGTGTCATTCAGTCATACATGATCTAGTGCTTTTGTCTAAAGCAGCAAAAGCCTGACTATAGTTAGAAGAAGAAGAGGTTGGATTTATATTCCACCTTTCACTACCTGAAGGAGTCTCAGCGTGGCTTACAATCTCTTTACCTTCCCCTCTCACAGATTTCTGTCTCAGCTCAGGACGGGTGGCTCCAGAGCAAACTAATTTATGCAGTAGCCAAATGGCTCACTCACAACTTTAATGCCAGTCGCTCACAAAGTAGAATTTTTGCTCACAAGACTCCACAGCTTAGAGGGAACAATGGCTAAGAGGTAGGTGGGGCTGAGAGAGCTCTTTCGAGAACTGCTCATGAGAGAACAGCTCTGAGACAACTTGTGACTGACCTAAGGTCACTTCAGCAGCTGCATGTGGAGGAGTGGGGAATGAAACCTGGTTCTCCCAGATTAGAGTTTGTGCTCCTAACCACTAGACCAAACTGGCTTTCAGTTAGTCCAAAGGTATGATTAAAGAGCTTTTACCATCTTCTTTATCAACAGAATAGATGTTGTCGCAAATTGTGGATTGTGCCTTCTTCCACAAGTAATGCCAACTCTGAAGTGGCTAAAGCAACCTAAGTGTGAACAGTAAAAATGTATGGTCTGATTTCTGGTCTCATCCCAGCCTTGTTTGCCTGGTTTCGACTAGTGGCTTAAAGTAGTTTTGGCATTCATATGCCATGGCTGTTGCAATGCCATTTTCCCAAGCTAAAAGAAGAGTGTTGGCTGATTACAATCATAGCTGTATGCACTTCAAAACTCTAGGCTTTTATTTTAAAGAAAGCAAATTTCTAGTCCTTATGACTGCAAAGGTCTTCTTGAAAATGGTTATGTGATGCCTGTTAATATCCAAGAAGCCAAAGATGTAACAGGAATAAGATTTCCAATCGCTGGAGGTTGGTTTTTTTTTAGTGCTGTATAGCTCCTTGTTCCTTCCCATGACTAAGAAAGCCAGAATAAATTATTCTTACTAAGAGAATTATTCATATTTGTTTAGTTTGTGTAATATATGCTGAACACAGAACTTCGCTTGGGGGGGGAATTCTAAAAAACCTTTCACTTCTCATAATAGTACAGCTGCATTTTTCACATCTTCAAAGCTTAGACTTGCAATCCTGGAAAGAACTGCTGCAGAGTTTACAGTTGTCCTGGCGGTCTGTCCTAGTTTTTAAAGGCTAGTAATCATTAAGTGATTTTCCTGGCTAAGAAAAAAACACTATAGTGATGTGGAGAGGGGTGTGACTGGACCAAGAGTGGGAGGAGAGGGGAGCAGGGGAGGAGAGAGGCAGTGTGTGAGTGGCAAGATAGTGTACAGGCTTTCATCAATTATTTGTAAGGCTAGTTAGGGCCTCCTAACCTGTGATTTTGTTGAATTTGGAGTACTGGTCATTCAGGAAATGTCCAAAGCACTCTGGGACAAAATATCAGGAGAAGTTCATTGCTATCTCTTGATCAGTATGATAAACTCTGAAGGCTTATTAGCGACATAGCTACATTGTTTCTTTTCTCTGAAGGTTTATCAATTACCACCTTTTTTCTGAAGGTTTTTCTTTTGAAGCACCTGCTTTACTACTGCACATAATAAATAAGTGCATGCAAATACTTATAAAGTGTATAAATGCTGAATGTTAAATATAAAATTAATGCAAATAAATATTGTTGGTTAATACCATATGATATTTGAAGTTTTTTTAGCTATGGATCAAGGTATGTCTGTCTACAATAACATTTGCCCAGGGTTTGTATATGGAGCTTTTAAATGTGTACCTGTATGTCATTTCTGACATTTTTGATATCAAATTATTTTACTTAAGATTGTTAAAGTGAGAGTTATTCTGTTGGTTTCTTATGCTTATTGTAATGTTCTCAAAGGCAGTGCATTTTATATATTGTTTTTCAGTAGTGCAAGTATACTTATGGAGATAACGTTTTAGCAAAACATCTGAAAGATTTGGCCTGGCTGTAGTAGTTTGAAAATTCATAGAGCTATTTATATTGTGTCTGACAAAAGTTGGTTATTACTAACAACTTGTGAAAGAACAAAGTGTGTAAATATCTGATTAAATCTAGGTTTGTTTCTATTTCAGAACTTTTCTTGTAGGAAATGTTTTTGCACTATGAGTTTTATTGTGTAACAGTTATATTATCTGTATTGCTTGTTAGTTAAATTTATTATTCAAATACAATATCAAACTGGTGACTTTCTCTGCTGAGAAATTAATTGCTGTACTTTCTTTGATGCAGTTTTGGAGAAATATCGACCATAAGGCTGGCTAAGCTTACCTAGCTTGCTTCTAATTTTTTTCTAAAGAGATTGTGGGACTGCTGAAGATGGGTAGCCATGTTAGTCTGTCTGTAGCAGTAGAGAAGAGTAACAGTCCAGTAATGACTAACAAAATTCGTGGTAGGGTATGAGCTTTCGTGAGTCACTGCTCACTCCTTCAGATACAGTTAGAATGTGAGTGTCATGCCTGCAGTGCAGCCCGACCCTGTAGACCCTGACCCCGGGGATTCTGCGCCCTCAA